CCACCAATCTGGTATGGCCGACCACCTTTTCAACCTGACCCTTTTGACCCCTGGTCGGCCAGCCATCTCCTTTTTGGCCTTCCTAAGTTGCATACAGCTGTGCCAGCTGGGAGGCATTTTCTCTGGGTTTGACCCTTTCGTTTGGCTTCTTAAGGAAGTTTGGTCCTTTAAGGAAGTTTGGTCCTTTTTGCTTAGCTTCTAAGAGAAGCTTGACCCTTTTGGTTTAGCTTCTCTTAGAAGCTTGGTCCCTTTGCTTGAGGCTTCTCCAAGAAGCCTTAGACCTCTTCTTCTTTAAAACAAACTCTCCTCTTCCATTGAAAGGGTTGAACATTTTGGTCTCAAGATAGATACACTTCTCCTCATATCTCTACATCCCAAGCTTCCAAACTCCATTATTCTTGGCCATTTACACTACACCTCCAAGCACAACACCTCCACTATCATCCCAAGAACCTTGGATGTCATTTTTAGAGCTTGAGGAGTCACTTTCTTGGTCCAGAGCTTGCTGTCTTGCTGTGCTACAAGGGTAAGTCTCTATTTCCCCCATTTTGACATTGTTTTGCTCCATAGTTTAGCTCTATTTGCAAGCATTTTTGGACTTTTACATAAACTAAAAAAAGTCTTGTTTTGAGCTTCTTTTTAAGTTTGTTCAAGGTTATTTTTCTGTTTGGGGTCACCTTCCCCCTTGCATGCTTCATTTCCTCATGTTTTGAGCCATGTATTAGAGCATTTTGATGGCCTTGGTTTGGCCTTTTAGCCACTGAAATCCAGTGGATTTTCAATGGCTAACATGTGTTTTTGAGCCCTAAAATCAGAGAGGGTTGGCCCTCTCACCCCTTGTTCTCTTTACTAGCTTTTTTGGCCTTCCAAAGGGGCCCCTATTTGCATGTTTCAAAGCCATATTTTAGGCCCTATTTGGTGAGTTTTAAGGTCTACATTAGCTCTGTCCAGAGCCTATTTTGCCATATAAAGTGTCTATTATGCACGTGTAGAACAATCCTATCCAAGGCCTTTCAAAAGGGCTTTCACTTGCATGCTTCCTAGACTAATTTCAGGGCCTTTTTGGTGAGTTTTAGGACCCTCATAACCTTTGTTCAGAGGTGGTTTTTCCATTTTGTGTGTCCATCATACATGTGCGGAACAACCCCTTGCATGGCCTTCTAAAGGAGCCTATCATTCTTGCATGCATTGCCTGAGTTTCAGCGGGTTTTTGGACATATTTTGGCATGGAATACTTCTATTTTTGTCTGGTTTGGTGAGCTCTCATATGCTTCATATAGTTGTGGTACAACTCATGGTTCACTAGCTTTCTTTGCATGCTTTGTTGACCCTTGATTTTAGCACTTTTTGACCATGCCTTAAACTGATTTTATGCATATTTTGGACTTCCTTAGCTCTATTTTTGGGTCTCATGATCGAATGATGTTTGTTTTGCATGCTTGTAGTTCAATACCCATGCTTAACTTTGAGTTTTGAGGCTCATTACATGCATATACTGAGGTGTGTTCATGTTTTGGGCACATTATACATCATATTTCAGAGCTTGTTTGAATGCCATATTGTCATATTTTCTACTCTTTAAGTGTGCTTGGGAGTTGTGCATGAATGCCTTGTTTTCGGACCATTGAATGAGCTCCATTTTCTCGCATGTTGAGCCATCATTTTAGGCCATTTTCCCACTATTTCAGACCTGCCTAGGGTCTGTTTGGGGTTGGTTTTGCCATTAGTGCATTGCTTTGGATACCTCTAGTGTAACGCACTTCACTAGTTTCGGGACCCGGGCCCCCTAGCTTGCATTGTGTGCCATATTTGCATGTTTTGGGACTATCTTTTGTGTCATTTTAGAGCTGTATCATGTGTCATTCTGTGTCATACTTCATCCTTTTCCATGCTTAGTTAGAGTTGCATGTTGTGCCTTAGGATCGGTCCCTTGCATTGGGGCATGTTTGCATGAGTGTTCTTGCCTAATTTCATCATGTATGGCCACTGATGTGGGTGTCGCTGAGGTCCACTCATATTGGTGTAAGTCTATCTTGCATTGAGCATGCCATTTAGTTCATGATTGTTGCATGTTTGGCCATTGCATTGTGTATGCTTTGGTCATATCATTGATAGTCTTCATGTGCGCATGATAGTCTTCGTATGTGCATTGTGTGTGCCATTGTAGTTCATAGCATTGCGTATGCTAGGTTGCATGTTAGTTTCATTGTGTATGTCGTGCATATTGCATTGTGTTTAGAGTAAGGTTCAGTCCAAACGCAGGAAACGAGGGACGTTTCGTACTCAAAGTGACGAAACGCGTCTCAATTCCCGGTCATCGACACTCTGGATTATCCATGATGGAGTCTAGGCCTTGTTGTGTTTTCATCTGCATTCATTTCATATTGAGTCGTGCAATTCGACTCCTCAACCATCATGCATCGAGATGCGTGATTGGTGGAACGAGGATCGAGGTGTGCATACATATGTGAAAATACTTTGCCATGCCCCTTTCTTGCTCTCTGTTACAGCAAATCAGAAATCAGCAGCCTTCTAGAGCTTCGCACAGCATTCCGGGATTAATTGCAAACAGAGGCGAATCGGGGCATCGCAATGGATTCCCGCACAAGGCAACTCGAGCATGCATCTTTCATCATTCAGAATAGAGCTGAGGCGGTCCATGAATTTGCACGCTAATTTATTTCATTTCTTAGTTAATTTGTTAATCAATTAGGGTTTTGTATTAGGACTGTATTACTTATTCGGACCCTCCGAGCAAGAGCACAATTGTAATAAGTGTGCGTGTATGTGATGTATATCTTCCAACCCCACGTCTTTCTCCCTTTTATTTACCGGCTTATGATGGTTAGATTAGGGCATGTTTCAATTAGCATACTTATGTTCGCATGTTTGCATCATTCATCTGTATTGCATATACCGAGCTCGGCGCATCATACTAACTGCATTGTATTTCAATTTCAAGTTGAATACGTGTTAGCTATAGCATCTCATATGCCATTCTTAGAATAGCCGAGCCTATTGTAGTTGCATTTTTGCATGTGTTGCATTAGGCATTTCTGTATAGTTAGGATCATGCATAGATTTCTAACATAGCTTCTGTTTTGGCTTAGAGTACTCGGTAAGTATTTATACTTTAGCATCCTTGCATGTGTGTGAGTGACTGTCATGATAGCATGCTTACCATGAGGCTAATTGCTTATGTAATATAACTACATGAATGTCTGTGGGTGAAGGTTGGATTATTTGAATTGGAACAATTCATCGATTGCGAGTTTTAAGCCCACTTGAGAGGGGCAAATCATCATGTTTTCTAAGCCCACCTGAGCGTGGCAAAACCCGCATTTTAGCCTACTTGCGAGTAGCAAACTGTTTTCAAAACAAACATGAGATGTTTCGTTCCAATTCAAGCGATCCAGTCTATACTTGTATGCTGCGCGCATCACATAGTAAATCTAGGCTAATAACCGGAATAAGAATGCATAATGTTTTCAAAACTAGATATCATGGTTAGTAGAGGCCGATCTTTGATCGGGCGAGTAGGGGTGCTCACGAAGTGACCTTTCCCAATCGTACCCAAGTTCCCGAGCCGAGGCAACTTTGGTGAAGACGGACACGTGGCCTTAGGCAACGAGTCAGGGTTTCCTAAATTCCCCTAAAATAAATATTTAGGTGGCGACTCTGTACCTGGCAAAGTAGTCCATGTTTGGCACTTCTTTCAAAAAAATCTGTTTTCAAAAATGATTTGCCGGATTTGGACTCTTTGATGATTCATCGGTCTTGCATTGCACTCTGCGAGATTAGATACAGGACCGTGACATTGAGTCCTGAACTGTAGTGAGCCCAAATGAACAAAACGGGGGATTTCCCCCCGGGGACGTCTACAGTAACCGCATGATTACATTTTGAAATGGAAAGAAGAAACTTTCTTAGTGAGTGAATTATTTTATCATTCATTCATTGCTGGAGGCAAATTTTTCATATTTGGAAACTCATTTATTATATGAAAAAAAGAATTTGCATTTGAAAACAATAAATAATTACCTACGTTAATGTTTTTGACCTTTTTTATTGGTAGATTAATGAATTTGACCTTATGACGTGGGATAAAGTTTAACATTTTTTATATAATTATCAAGCTATGTCATCAAAAAAAACCAAAAGATGGATGTGTTTGGTTTGTGTTTGTAAAGTAGTTTTTGAGATAAAAAGTACGAAAATTTATTTGGTTTGCCTTTTTTCAGAAATGTTTTTGAAAAATTATTTTGGGGAGAGAGTTTTAAAAAAAGTGATTCATTTGATTTGTATGAGAGAGAGAGAGTGATTTTGAAAAGTAGGTAACAAAACAAAATTTTAAGAATTTTTTTTTGAAAAATTTGTTTGGTTTGATTACTCTTAAAAATTTGTTTGTAGAGAATTTTTTCCAAAAATTTTCTTGAAAAACAAACCAAACAAGGCCATCGGACTGAGGGTTGAAAAATTTTCTCTAGGTCCGAATTCATGAAATTGTTTACAAAGTCATTATATTTTTATTCACCATTTTTTAAATTGTTGTGATTATTACTCTATTATTTTTCATTTTTAATTGATCTACTAAATACGGACCGAGGGTTGCTGTTGTGCCTTATGGCACAGCAGCCTTGCTGTGAGGTCCCGTAGAGACATTTTTTTACTGTAGTTTGATGATCTGAACTGTTCATATTGTAAGGTTTGTTCAGTATATCATTCATACAAAAAAATAAGTTAATCGGACATCAATGATCCCATGATCAAGTCCTAATTGTTTTAAAAGAATTATTAAAATCATGTTAACCGTTTATTTTTTGAAAAACAAATGTGCTCTTATTATGAGGTTACAAATGTCCGATTTGCTTATTTTTTGCATGAATAATCTATTCAACAAATCTTACAATATAAACAATTCAGATCATCAAAAAAAAATTCAAAACACCCCCCAATAGGCCTTACAGCAGCTTACAATGCGTTTAAGTTCAAATAAGCAAATGGAAGGAGCTAAGCAAGGGAGGTGGATCCCTGTGGTGAGACAAAGGGGTGGACATCAAAGAGGACAAAGAAGAGGAGTGTTCGAGGGACGCACAAGCTTCTTCACTGTATTTGTGGATAATATACCAAGATCAGTGAATCCGAAAGGGTTGTATAACATCTTCTCCAAGTTTGGTGTGATGAATGATGTTTTTATTCCGCAAAAGAGAAGGAAGCTCACTAACATGAGATTTGGGTTTGTAAGGTTTGACTGCCCTGTAGCTGCAACAGTAGCTGTTCAGAGAGCAAATGGATTATGGGTGGACGATACGGCAATAGAGGTGAAGCGTGCAGCTTTTGGAAAGGAAAAGGTCTAGGGACGAGGTGTAATAGACCCATTGCGTCTTCAATCACCAAGATACAATGGCTAACAACAGGAAGGAAGAAGCAGGGTAGGAGTATCTACAGTCCAAAAGTCATATGCAGAAGCAGTGGTAGGACAAAATAATGCTCAAAATGATAGCCTTACTCTGAAGGCTGAGGAAATAGGGAACAGGTGGCTGTATGAAAGTGTAGTGGTCCACTTGAAGGATGAGCATGCAAATGTCAACCTGAAGAAGGAACTTCAAGGAATAGGAGTGGAAGATGTTCTGATCCGAGAGAGTGGAGGTCGCGATGTGGTGCTAACATTTAAGTCTAAGGAGGAGAAGGTATTAAAAATGCAGCCTATCAAGGAGCTGATTTTGGAGTAGTACAAGGCTATTTTGGAGGGAAAAGATGGACTGGTCCTAGAACAGGAAAGGTGTGTGTGGATCAGATGCTATGGTATTCCATTAAACTTATGGAATAGTACAAATCTGAGGAAAATCGAGGGGCTGTGGGGAAATTTCCTATGCTTTGATGGGGATAATGACCACCCTAAGTCCTTCGCGTGTGCCAAGCTTAAGATCTCCACCAAATGCATGGAACCAATCAATAAGGTTATTAAGTTGGAGTGCAAAGGTTTTCTGTATCCAGTAAGAGTGTGCGAAGAACAATTGGTGATGGTAAAAACCATGAATATGGTCTGCAAGTGCCAGGAAGTTCAAATGCAGGAAGATAAGTGTAGCTCAAATGAACCAGTGATATAGAGCCTGGGTAGGAGCAACAAAGGGAAGGAAGAGGAAGATGACATGGACGATAACTTAGACGATGCGTTGGTCCCTAGAGATGAGGTGGTGGTAGGTTGCAAGGCACGCGGAGAAAGCGTGAGTGAAGAGATGGAGCAGGTGTGGGGTGGGAAATGTGATACAGCAGTTGCAGAGTCTAGTGGTGGCGTGAGGGTGGAGACTAGTGGTGAGGCATGCAGGGTCATGATGGCTGTTGGGAATCAAGCAAATAGCTCTGCTGCAGGCGCTAGCAATTGTCAGAACATTGTTGATCAGGTCCTCACACCAGGTTTTGTTAGAAGCTTAAGTGGGCCAATTCTCAACAAGCCCGGGGTAAAAATTGAAGTGGTCCTGGGCCATAATCAGAGGTTATATAAAGGTCATGGGCTGAACCAAGAGAACCAAGTCCAATTTGGGCCTATAGGTCAGGTTGCTACCACTATTAAAGGTTATGGTGCTCTTGGGCTGGGTGAAAGAGAATCAAGTGTATCTGAAGCCCATGAGCTAGTGCGTAGATCTCAACCTGGAAAAAATAGAAAGGGAAGTAAGAAGATTAGAACTTACCCAGCTGTTTGCTATCAGTATCCAACAAAGGGCTCTCTCAGTTTACTTAGGAAGTATGCTCAAAGAGGGGCTTCAACTAGTAAGGCAGCCTCAAAGGTTGCAGTCCGGAGAGCAACAGTACCAGCAGTCTCCATATCAACCTCTACTAATATTGGGGTTGATAATGGGAGACTTCTCTTGGAGGAAGCCCAAGCAACGTTGGAAATGGGGGAAATTTTGGGCGTGAAGTACAATATAATGGAGGATGTTGTGCTAAACAAAATAATTGAGCTCGAGGTAAAGGATCAAGGTAGAATTGGAAGGGGAGCTTCAACTGGGTTATGAAGAATACCTGCTAGGGGGCTGTCGAGGTGTATGAATATGTTCTTATAAAGATATTATCGTAGAACATTAGAGGGCTGGGGAAAAAAGGGAAGCAAAGCAAGCTTAGGGAGCTCTTTTAGGAAAGAAATGTAGACATGGTGCTCCTCCAAGAAACAAAAAAATCTGAAATCTCTGAAGCAGAAATAAAATCCATGTGGATGAGAGACAAAGTAGAGTTTTTGGCTGTGGATTCTGAAGGTTCAGCTGGTGGTTTACTCTGTGTCTGGGATCCAGATGTTTTTCAAATTTCAGAAAGCTGCAGCAACAAGAGATTTTTTCTTCTATTAGGTACATTTTTTCATTCCTTTGAGTGTGTTATTTTAAACATTTATGCACCTAATGATGTAGGCTTAAGAGGAAAGCTATGGGAGTGTTTAGTAAAGCTAAAGGAGGAATTCTCTAAGCCTCGGTGCATGGGTGGGGACTTCAATGAAATAACAAACATTGGTGAAAGAAAAGGGTGTTCAAGAAGGGATAAGGGCATGAGGGAATTGACTGAGTTCATCAATAAATGCGAAGTATCTAATCTGCCTTTCCTAGGAAGAAAGTATACCTGGTTCAATTCATGTGAAGGTGAAAAGTGGAGTCGAATTGACAGAGTTTTAGTAGACCCGAAATGGTTAGAGTCTTTCAAGTTAAAATTATGGGGATTGCCAAGGTTGCTGTCTGATCACAGTCCTCTTTTACTAATGGAGGATGAAAGGGACTGGGGCCCTAAACCCTTCAGGGTCCAGAATGCATGGTTCCTACACAAAAACCTTCACTCTTTTTGGGAAAACAGCTGGAAAGAGGCCAGAATAGAAGGCTGGGCTGGGTTTATTTTGTTAAATAAATTGAAGACTTTGAAGGCAGGCCTAAAAAAATGGAATGTAGAGGTCTTTGGTAATGTAATCAGTAATCTAAAAGCAGCTGAGAGTGAACTGCACAACTTTGAACTTGTTGTTGAGAATAGAGACCTTGATGAACCTGAAAAAACAAGAAGAATGGAGGTTAGAGGAGAAATGCGGAGGCTAAGCAAGATGGTGGAGAGACTATGACTTCAAAAGTCAAGATTAAATTGGGCTTTAAATGGAGATAAGAATAAAAGGTTCTTTCATGTTATGACTAAATGTAGACAAATAAGGAATGAAATCAATTCAATTACAGAGGGGGAGGTGATGTATGAAGACCCAGTCAAGTGAAGAAAAGAGTGTTTGAGTTCTTCAAAACTCATTTTTCTGAGGATTGGGTAGGGAGACCTGAATGGTTTTAATATGGGGTGTTTTCAGAAATTCTGGAAGGTGATGAAGTGTGAAGTCATTAATTTTGTGAATGAGTTCCATAAGAATAGAAGGCTGGTAAAGGGTATAAACAGTTCCTTCATAACCCTGGTACCGAAAAAGGAGAATCCACAAGGGCTAGCAAATTATCGACCCATAAGCTTGGTGAGGTCAAGCTATAAGATCATAGCAAAGCTATTGGCTCACAGGTTAAAATTAGTGATGCCTCACATAATTAGTGAAGCACAGTTAGCTTTTTTATCTGGTAGGAACATTTTGGATGGGGTGTTAATTGCTAATGAGGTCGTAGAGGTGTGGAAAAAAGCAAAGAAGAAGGGCATAATTATAAAGTTGGATTTTGAGAAGGCATACGACTCCATCAATTGGGGATTTTTGTTCTCTATGATCTCTAAGTTTGGGTTTGGTGCTAAATGGTCTAGCTGGGTGAAGGAGTGTGTAACCTCTGCTAGGGTCTCTGTGCTTGTCAATGGGTCTCAAACTGAAGAGTTCAGCCCACAAAGGGGGTTAAGGCAAGGTGATCCCTTGTCCCATTTCTTGTTTAACATAGCTGCTGAAGGTTTGAATATTTTATTATCTAGAGCCCAGGATTTAGGAATGATCAAGGGTGTGAAAGTGGGCTCAAATAGGGTAGTCCTATCTCACCTCCAATTTGCAGATGATGCAATTTTATTCTGTGAAACAGCTATAAAAGAGGTGAGCCATATGAAAAGAGTGTTGAAATGTTTTGAATTAATGTCAGGGTTAAGAATTAATTACCACAAAAGTGTTGTGTGTGGGGTGGGTTTCAGATGAAACAATGCTCAGTTGTGCTTCAGTGCTGAATTGTAAGTTGAAGTCACTGCCACTCACTTACCTTGGGCTACCCCTTGGGGCTAATCCTAAGAAGAAATCCACATAGAAACCTGTGCTGGATAAAGTCAGAGGTAGGCTGGCTGGGTGGAAAAGGAAGTTGCTGTCCTTCACTGGAAGGTTGACTCTCGTTAAAGCTGGGACATCCTCACTACCAGTGTATTATCTGTCCCTGTTTAGATTACCTAAAGGGGTTGCTAAAGAGTTTGAGAGGCTTCAAGCTTCATTTCTGTGGGGTGGTTCAACTCTAAGGAGGAAGATTCACATGGTTCGCTATGAGGAACTATGTAAAAGTGTGGAGCAAGGAGAGCTAGGCATTAGGAAGGTGTGTGATGTTAATAAGTGTTTATTGTTAAAATGGTGGTGGAGGTTTGGTTGTGAATTTGGGACTCTGTGGAAGAAGATTATCTGCAGCAGATATAAATTAGAGGAGGGTAGCTGGCTTCCATCCCTTGTTGCTAGTAATAATTATTCAACTGTATGGAGAGGAATCACAACAATTGATGAGCAGTCCACCAGCTTACAACAGATTTATTTAAATAATTACCAGTTGAAGGTTAGTGATGGAAGAATAATTCTTTTTTGGACTGATAAATGGTGTAATCACCTTTCCCTTAAAGATGAGTTCCCTGGTCTTTATAGGTTATCCCTAGAGAAAAGTGCTACATTGAAATATATTTATGACAGAAAAGATGCAGTAGTTGTGTGGAACCTAGCTTTCAGAATAGAGTTGTATGACTGGAGGAGGCTCAGTTGCAGAACCTCCTTAACCAATTAGCAGCAGGTCCTGTGCTAAGGCCTGATCAGGTGGATAGGCCTGTGTGGTCAGCCTCTAATTCTGGTGAGTTTTCTGTAGCATCATTGTATAAGTTTGTGGTTGGTAACCTTGGTCCAACCCTCAGTGTTAGTAAGTTGGTGTGGTTAAAGTTTATTCCTCCCAAGGTGCAAGAGGATCAAGACAAAGGAGTTTCTACAAAGACTAGGGATCGTAACAGTGAATGGGACTAATCTATGTAATCTGTGTGTGTTCTGTAAGAGTGAGTTGGAATCTGTGAATCATGTTTTAGTCTGCTGCCCTTTTGTGTGGAGTGTCTGGTCTCATATGTTGAATTGGTGGGGAACCCAAGGAGCATTACCAGGTGTTATAGATCAGTTATTGTTATGGTGGGTAAGTGGGAAGGTGAAAAAGAGGGAAAGGAAAATCTGGAGTGCTATCCCTTTAGCTGTATTGTGGTCAATTTGGAAGCTTAGAAATGAATGCATCTTTAGATTATCTACTCCAAGCAGGGCTGAAGTGTGTGAGTTTATTAAGACCAGGGTAGCCCTGCGGTTGAGGCCACATCTGAAGGACTTTAATTTCTCAATCACTGATTTTATCTTTAACTTCACTCAGATTCGGGTGTGCTTGGGTGGAACTATGTAGCAGCAGAAGTGCAACAGAAGTTCTACAGCTGTGGGTTGCTGGTGTGTGTGTGTGTTAGTGTTGTGTGACCTGTATGCTGTGGTGTGATCTGTTGCTGGGGTGGGTGCTAGTGTCCTGGTTGTGTGTTAAGTCTTTGTGACCTCTCTGCCAAGTGTGAAATGCTACACTGATATGGTGAATGTCAAGGTCACTGCTGGTGTGAGTGTTAGTGTTGCGTGATCTATATGTATTTTGTTGCTGTGCCTTGTGTGTGCTAGTGCTGTGTGATCTGTATGATGTATTTTGGTTATGTGTTAAGTCTTGGTGGTTTCCATAAGGGCTTGGTCTGCACTGGTCTCAATTTAATTTAGGCAGGGGAGGTGTCTCTAGCCCTATCATCTATCATCTGCTGCTATTTGCTTTCAGTGGTTGGGTGTGGCTGTTACTGGAACTCAAGATTCAGTGGTTTGCTGTTGGTGTCTGTGAACTCAGGATTGAGTGGTATGCCAAAAGGAAAAGCCAGATTCTGTAGAGTTGGCTGAAGAGGTGCAGGCATGCTAATGCTCTGCTGGTTGCTATGTTATCTGCTTGTGTCTGCTCTACTAATTGTGAAATGTTGCACTGATATGGTGAATGCTGGTAATTGTGAAATGCTGGTTGCTATGTTATCAATGGATCTGCTACTATCTGCTATCTGCTATCTGCTATCTTAGATGTTTGCAGTGGTTTTGAGTGGTATGCCAAGAGGAAAGCCAGATTCTGTAGAGTTGGCTGGTTGCTCTGTTGGTCTCTATTGTGTGTAGTAGCGGTGTTGGCATGCTACTGTGTGTAGTAGATTTAGTGGTTCAAAATTCATATCATCAACATTTCATTCAGTATATTTCAATGCTCTGCTAGTTGCTTTGTTGGTCTCTCACCAACTCTAGAGGTGCTTGCAAATGATAGGATGAGCTAGATGGTGCCAACCTCGTTAGGATGATCTAGCCCATTGTGATGTTCTGCACCTCCATTTATCTTTATTGATGTAATTCGCTTGCTCTATGTACTTGTTTATTCCATCAATAAAATTCTTCTTTGCTGATAAAAAAAAAACAACAGCTTACAATGCCTTAAGGCACCACAGGAACCCAACTCTGTCTAAATACATCCCTCAATAAATTTATCATAAAAAAAATCCCAATAGAATCTTTCAAAATGGCATGCTAGCTCCATCATCAGATCTAAATATTTAGCATAACAATCATTAAAACAATAAAGTTATGAATCCAAAATTCATATGTAGATTTTTTTTTTTTAAACAATAATAATGTGTGGTTGATATTGGATGCTTGAATGCTAAGATTCATATCTAAATAAATTTAGGATAAATTATATTGATAGTCTTTATATTTTATTTTTTATATTATTTTGATTCTTTCACAATTTTGACTTTTAATTTTAAATTTTGTGTCAATTTGGTTCAATTAATAATATTATTAGTGTTTTTAAAAAAAATTATCACTAAATTACACTACAAGAATTAACACTTTTGGCAACAAAAAAATTGGTCGCTAAAAGTCTATTTTTGGTCGGCAAAAGTTATTCGCGCCCAATTTTTTTGGTCGCTACTTTGGTCGCCAATTGAGGGTCGGCAAAAGTAATTCGCGACCAAAATTTTGGTTGGTCGGCAAAAGTTGGATTTGCCGACTAAATTTTTGGTTGCTAATTATTTAATTACCGCGACTAATTTATTTTGTCGCTAAAACACTTTAGTCGCGAAAAGTCGCCTTTTGTCGGCCAAATTTCTTAGTCGCCAATTGACACATTTCACGACCAAAAAGTTTGGTCACCAATTGTGACATTCCGCGATCAAAAATTTTGGTCACCAATCGTGACATTCCGCGACCAAAAAGTTTGGTCGCCAATTGTGACATTCCACGACCAAAAAAGGTTTTGGTCGCCATTTGTTACTTTTCGCGACCAAAACTTTTGGTCGGCAAAAGTGAGTTTCCACGACCAAGAACTGTTTTGGTCAGCAATAGATGTATTTTTTGCGACCAAAACTCTTGGTCGGCAATTGTCATTTTTTGTGAAAAAATTATTTATTTGTCGCAACTAATAAATTGGTCGCCAAAGCAGGAAAACAATACACCTGTAATTCCTAATAATTCATTCAATCCATAATAAACCTATAATGTTAAAGCATCATTCAAATTAACTGAATCATTAACATTCAATCATAATGCATAATTCATTAACATTCGACACAATACAACTATTCTAAGTTTTCATTCACAAGTCACATCCATCTAGCATAACAATTTGAAACATAACTATTTGTTATCCATGCGCAGCTATCAACAAATAAAACTACTAATATTTGCTATAAACAAGTAAGGTGCTTAGTAGCTGCTTTAGCATCCTTTATGTTCCTAATGCACTCCACTGCCTCCTGATTTGTCATTACTTGATACCAAAAGTCCAGTCTGTTCAGAGCATACATTACAGGGAAAAAGTGAAATACACACACAAAAAAAATAGGTGCCAATAGAAACCAAACATGGAATGGGACACAAAACTCTGTGTTCCTAGCATGACTGATATGATACAGATCAATTACAGCACCAAATTTCACAAGCAGCAATAGCTAGAAAATGTTTAATATCAGTTGAATCAACACAGACAGTGAACTGATATGTACCAATGATAACAAATGATTTAGTAAGAGAATTTTAAAATTTGTAGACAAAGTAGAAATGTATATATATATATATATATAATCACAATCTACAATATAAACAGAGTAATTAACACCAAATGACCCCTAATACAGTGATGACGATAGTTTTTACCTTATCCGCTAGTTGAAAGCTCATGATTGCATGATATGAACTCATCAACTTAAAAAGGGCAGCTAGTGTTGTCAATAAACATTGCCTAAACTTGGATTCAGGTATTTGATGGCATAGATCACTGTAGGTAAGTCTGGAACTGGAAAATATTTAAAAACTAAATCAGAACTAGCATGGTTTATGCTAAAACCAAACAATGTATGCAGAGACATAAAAGTAATACCTACTACTTTGCATATTGGAAGGTTTCAGATCCTGTCAAATTTAAATAGTATCTCAATGAGAATGTCGTTCAATGAAAAAGTGTCTGCGTGTGTGTGTGTGTGTGTCATTCAACCATTATTTAATTATCCACTCCATCAAGGGCTATATGCTCACATAATTAAATAATTCATATATTCCGCTTCTACCATTTCCATTTACGGTGATCATCACTTGTAGATGACTCAAGGTTATAATTTTGCATGTAATACAGTGGCATCAAAATGATAAACATAATGATATACTTGGTTCTATTGATCTTAAGGAAATGTAACACACAAACCACGCCTAGGCCAAAGAAGTCCAAACCCACAAACTATCTCCAAAAGGGCCTGACTCACGAAAGAGTGATGGAGACTTATTGGCTCACTAGGGTGGGACAACTACTGGATGTGGGCCAAATACACTTTTCTGTCCTTTGATCTTAAAGAAGTATAAAAGAAACAGAGAGAAACCATATCGGAACAAAAATAAGTCCAAACTCATGCACTACCTCCAGAAGGGCATAACACTAAGATGACTGGAGAGTTATAAGACCCACTAAAGTGAGACAACTATGCGATGAGGGACGGGATACACTTTTCTTTCTTTTGTTCTTAAGGAAATCTACAAACTGACAAACTACACCTGGCCCAAAGAAGTCCAAACCAACACACAAACACAATGATATGCAAGTATTGTTTCTTTTCACTTTGTTTATCTCCAGCTGCTTCAGTAATGAATTCAATTGATAATAGAATGCAGCAGCATACCTCCTGCAAAATATTTTTCAAGACAGAATGGGTTACTGAGAGAACCTCCTGCATAAAGAAGCTTTGTATCTTTTCAGCAAGACCAGAAACATCCCCAATCAACGCATAAGCATCAACCACCTATAAAGCATTGAAACACTCGTATCAAGAAAAAAATGAAAACAACAAGAATGCTGAACAACAAATGCATTACAATCTAAGAAGCACGAACACACCAACACATCAATTTACAAAAAATGCAAGACACGACACATGACGGACACGCACTAAATATATGGTTTTATATATTTATTATATGTCATATATAAGAATATTTCATTCAAAGATAATAAAAATTGTAACACAACACTATATTCTAAAGTTTAAAGGAAGAGGATTAATATGTATAAATTGTTACTTTCTTTTTTCTTTTTACCATTGTATTGGCTAAGTTACTTGTATTGTGTTTCGTGTGTGTGTGTGTGTAAGCAATGGACATGTGTGTCCCCCATGCATCAGAAGTGTGTCTTGGTCTAAAACTAATAAAAAAATAATAATATAACACATTTGACTATATGCCCAACACATGTCAGGAAGTGTCCGATGAGCATTGGTTTGGACATGGACATGCACTTTGGAAGTGTCCATGTTGGTAACAAGTCCATTGAAAAAACCAACCACGTAATGAATGCATAAAAAGATGTCAGAGAGAGCAGAACACATCAAACATTGCAACAATGATTAATCCCCAATCAATAATTACTATAAGAAAAGAATTGTAACAATTATTTAATAATATCCAGTTTTGACTATTGACAAATGATATCTAGTACTGAATATTGATATGAACAATAAAATATTCCAAAAAAAAATAAAACCAAAAGAATTTTAACCTAGAATGATTGAAGCAGAAATTGCATTCCTGATGCAAAATCCAAAAAATCAAAAATAAAAAGACCAACATGTGGGAAACAGAGTATAAAAGCAAAGAAAGAATTGAGAATTGTAACCAATTTCCCCAAGAAATAAAATTGACAAGACCAAGCATCTTCTGGTTGATATAAAGTATACGGATCATTATACAGGCCGAGAAGTTGAACATCTCAATAACAATACCAGATGATGCAGTTAAATCACCATACATGTTCCAAAGTACATTTCCTTATATTACAAAGAAAACCAGGTATGAATTTATAAATAAAAAAAATAATTATTGACCTAATTAGGTCAACAATTGATCCAAACCTAGAGCCCGCTTGAGCGCTGATCGAGCAAGGCAATTTGGAGCTTTTTGGAAAATAAAAACGTGCTCAAGCTCGAGCTGGAATCAAGCCCACTTCATGTGGGACCTTCTGGAGTTGAAACTCCAAGAATCCACCTAACCAACTCACTTGGGTTGTTATACATGCCAATACAAAAGTTGTACATAGTTTCTAAGAATCCCATACTTCTTTTAAGAATTAGAAGATCCACAACCTCCATATTTAAATTGCAAATGAAAATCTCATTCCACAAGTAATTTAGTTTAATCTTTCTACACCTATATCAATCTTTAAAATGGAGAGTAAATTAAAAATTTGGAAAAAAAGTTGCAGAGAGTTGTAGAATTCTAAAGAAACAATGTAAAATTTTAGGTGAGAGAATATAGCATGACAATTCCATGACTATAATGATGGATTTTGTTCTAGCAAACGTGGGTGTTTTGCAATGTTTAAGGTGGTATGGATTGAAGCAAATAAGATCGTTAGCTATAAGACACCATTTTGGTTTCCTAAAATAAATTATTGGCGAAGTCCATGGATGTAGTGAGTGGTGATGGGTGGTGCATGGTGGTAGAAGACAACAATGGTAATTGTTGTGGTGATGGTTATAGTGTGATCACTTGCTAAAGATGGTTTTGTTATTTGGTTGTTTTTGTTTCAGCCATGTGGCATGGGTGTCATGTTGGATGGTTGGGTTTGATGAAGAGCGGAAAAGAGAGAGAGAGAGAGAGAGAGAGAGAGAGAGAGAGAGAGTTGAAAGATTAGGCGACAATGGTCTTGTGAGGCTATGGTCGTGAAGTGTGGGTGGCAGTGTTTTGCACTTATCATCATTCATGGGGATGATAATGGTGCGTTTGGGTAAAGGGAGATGACAGCATGGAATCACCGAGTTTACTCAAGAAGTGAATCAGTAATTTAGGAATTTATTATGCGAAAAAGTCATTTTAGATAGAAAGGATAATATAATAAATTCATTACTTTTGTTAGAGTTGTTTTTGATAGGGTGGATCAATGTAATTTTGTCAAAACATAGGGGTGTGACATAATCATATTAAACATCAAGAAAGGTTCGTGTAATTCACTCTTTATTTTATCAGTCATAGTCTTGGTTCCTTAAAGATGAAATTTTAATATTCACAGGTCATGTTTTCTAAGTTGTCCTAAATACCTATTCAAGACAATAAAAATATTTTCAATTTTGAAACCAAACCCTTTTCATTCCCTCTTCCAACCACACGACCAAATAAAATAAAACTTGTAATCCAGCCTCCAAGTAATGTGATGTAATAAGATTTAGTTGTCTATTAGAATGGTCAGTTGTGCATGAGCTAACCATAAGTGCTTAGTTGGGTCTTTAGTCTACAAGTAGGCGGTTTAGGCTCATTATAATCAGTTTGTGACATTTTGAGATTGTATCTATTGAGCTAAGTGCTTTTTATCCCTAATTTCAGCATTTTCTCTCTTATGGAATCCAATTCCTAAATTGGTTTCATCATTATGTCTCTACCTATAAGGGGTCTGTTTAGTATAGCTTCTCGTAAGTTGAAAGCTAATCATCATAACGAAGAAACTAAAAGCATCCTTCTCTCAACTTTTCAATAATCAATTTTTTCAGCTTATTTAATGTATTTTTGCCATATAAAATGTAAGTAGCTACACCGAATACTTTGGCACAAATTCTTATAATAAATAAAAATTATAAGTAGCCCCAATAAATGGCCTCAACTTTATATCCGTTCTTATAAAAAAAATAAAAAAGCCATTTATATTCTTTTCATCACATTACACCTCATTTCATTTACGTCTGTTTCGCTTTTCTAATAGCTGCTCCCTCAAGTCTACATGTTCAAAGAAGTTACATGCAACTATGTGCTAATTGAGAAAATTAATTGTGGTAATTTTTTTTGAAATACCTCAAGACATAGTGATGCAGGTAATACTAACACATGAGTTGCCACACATATTTTTACTAAGCACACCACTCTTATCATAACTGTAACAAAAGTGTACCCAAACGACCTAATCTGCTGATGAATTTCGAGGAGTAGGTAAAGAACCCAATTTCCAATCCAACCAATAAAATTCAGTCAAACCCCAAATCAACACTAGTCAAGGTAAAAAATAAAACAATAAATAAAAAGATAATTTTAATTAGATGCATAATTCCCTCTAAGTTCACAAGCTCAATTTAGTCTATTAATCGATATGCAAAATAGAAACCCAAGTCAACACTGATGATGTTGATCAAAATTCAACACTAGCTGTAAGTTCATTAACTCAATTTGGGTACCCAAAAAACTACATTACTGAAGAAACCCATGTAGCAAAATACAAACCCACATAAATATGTATGTAAAATAAGCATAATGAGGGATTAATTACCTCGAGACGATCGGAAGTGGAAGGAAGGAGGCCGAGAGATCGGGCAGAGCGAACTGAGCTGAGAAGCTTCTCTCCGACCTTGAAGAAATCCATGCCGCCCCCTTGGAAGAAGAGCAACGAAGCGAAGAACAAAACCCTAGTTCCCTCGAAACCCCCGTCGCTCAAAGCGAAGAACCTCCTTTGCTAATAGATTTTAGATGTGGCCTTGGTGGCAAATGAGGTAGTATATATATAGAGAGAGAGAGGGGGGAGAAACAGGGGTAAAAGGGAAAAGAGGGCTGATGGTGGTTGTTCATGGTGGAGAAGGAATATACTCACGAAATGACTTCTGAGGAGTCCATTAGCAAAGGAGGTGAGAACAATAATTAATTCCATTAGCAAAGGAGGTTAGAATTCAAAACAAGATTGAAAGAAATCTAAATCGAAATCTAAATCTAAATCTAATTCGAAATTAGCTACACATATATTTGTATGTATAGAGATATAGAGAGATATATATATATAGAGAGAGACAGAGACAGAGGTTACCATTGTTGCACTTTGATTTGTAATGATGCGCGACAGTGGAAGATCGAGGGTGAACGACGGTGGAAGACCGACAGTGACTGTGAACGGCGAATCAACGATGGTGAGTCTGAGAGAGAGACAGAGAGAGCAAGAAACTGAACTTGTTTGGGTCTATCTACATATTGATAGAAAATAAATTAGGCGGTAATGTAAGAGTGTATTCCCACCAAAAAATGAATCTGTGTTTTTTAAATTGTTTAACTTTATTGCCGACAAAATGTTTTTTGGTCACTAAAAATAAGTATTTTGCCGACCACATTTTTGGTTGGCAAAGATCAAAAATAAAAAAAATTCATTAATATTTGGCGACGAAAATATTAGTCGCAGAAAAGGTATCTTCGACGACAAATCTTTTTAGTCGTCAAATCTCAATCAACGGCGACTAAAATATTAGTTGCTAAATGTATTAATTTGGCGACTGATTTTTTTGGTTGTTGAAAATAAGTTTTTGGCGACCAAATTTTTGGTTGCCAAAGAAAAAAATAATTTTTGTCGACCAAAAGACCATATTAGTCGCAAAAAAAGTACCTTCACCGACAAATATTTTTAGTCGCCAAATCTCAATCAATGGCGGCTAAAATATTAGTCACTAAAAGTACTAATTTGGCGACTAATTTTTTTTGGTTGCTGAAAATAAGTTTTTGGCGACCAAATTTTTGGTCGCCAAAAAAAATGTAACCTTCCGCGACCAAATTTGTAATTAGTCGGCAAAAGCATACCACTTTCTGCGACCAACTCATTTTTTGGTCGCCAAAATATAACCTTCTGCGACCAATAATATTTGGTCGCCAAAAATATAGATCAATCGCGACTAATTAATATTTGGTCGCCAAATGTCATTTTTTTGCGATCAAAATTTTTTTAGTCGGCAAAAGTGGTTGGCAAATGTGTGAATTCTTGTAGTGTTAGTTGAGATTAACTCACTAAATTGTGTAAGTTTATAATTTTTACTTTTAAGAATATGACACATGATACTTATGTGTATATTTTTCATAAAAAAATGCTAAGTATTGTAATCAATTGGATCAAATTGATATAAAATCAAAAATTTAAAGTTAAAATCGAACTAATTGAAATAATTGAGAGTCTTAAATGACACAATGACCAAAATAAAAGAATTATCATTTTAATTGATCCATAAATCTAAATCACACATTATTTTTTATAGGTATTTTTCTGTACACATCAAAACAATTTTCTTGGAAAAAAAAAAAAATCTAGTTACAGAAAAGTTATAAAAAAAAAAAAAAAAAGGAAACTTCCAACCAAGAAAGTTCAAAAGTTCGAACACAACCTATAAAATCACGTCCCGTATTTCTCTCACCCCATCATATATCCCTTCCCAAATCTCTTAAAATTCTCTCTCTCAATGAGTGATTAATTACCTCGAGACGATCGGAAGTAAAACTCAGAAAAATTTCAAGCAAACCCTAAAAATGAGCAACACCATCAATCACAACCCCAACACCAACACCAACACCAACACCAGCACAAATATTAACGACACTCCTACAAATACCAGCACAAGGGTTGGACCAGGAGGCTCCACCACTGGCTCACAAGCTTGCGCCGCGTGCAAGTACCAGCGAAGAAAATGCGCACCCAATTGCCCTCTTGCTCCCTACTTCCCTGCACACCTACACAAACAGTTTCTCAACGCTCACAAGCTCTTTGGAGTTGGCAACATCATGAAAGTTCTCAAACATATTCAACCTTGTGATCAAGAAACCGCCGTGAAGTCAATCATAGCTCACTCCAATCTACGTGCCATCGACCCTGTTGGCGGCTGTTATAGGAGAATTTGTCAATTACAAAAACATATTGAACAATATGAGGCCGAACTCGAGCTTGTTCATCAACATCTTAACATGTGTCGCGCAGCGCAAGAACAAGAAAACCCTAATGTTGATTCTTTGAGTGGTTATGATGCAACGTGTAATCAAATGATGGGTTCTCATCGAAGATCTGATTGTGATCGAGGCATTGAAGACGATGAGTTGGTGTTTTTTGATGAAGATTGTTATAATATGTTAGGGTTTGATGTGGCGAGACAATGTGCAATTAAGGTGGATGTGGAAGCTTCGTGTTCGTCGATGGGGGTGAACGGTAAGCAAGTTTTTGTCAATGAATCGGAAGCTATCAAACCACTTCTTGGAATTTTTGATGAAAAACAGCCTATTGTTCCATTTGAGTCCAAAGAATCAATTGAATACAGGTTTGTATTTTTTTTTTGCCACTGTTATTCAATATTTTCTTCTTTTTTTTTTAATAATTGATGATGAGCTTGAAACAAAAGATCCAAAGGGCAAGCATGGTAGAGGATTTTCTTGAGATTTTGTTAAATTATTGAATATAATTAAACCAATATTGGTGTGACTATAAACATCATAATTTTTTGGAAAAAAAATAGAATGCGAAATAAGTTGAATAACTGATTTACTTCGAGTTTGAAAAATTTTGGGGTAAACTTTATTGCGCTAGGATTTGGACTTTGTCACACGGTGACAATATGAATTATTTCGTTAATGCTAATTTTGACTAAAAATTGTTGTTCTATGAACTATTTGAGAGAGCTTTTATTTCAATATTTCAGTTTAACTTCTATATTTGCTTAACATCCTTCTTTCTCTTTGCCACCTCCACAATCTATTCCCATTAATTCTATTTTTATTGACTTGCTCTCCCTTCTTCTCTACCTCCAAATTTTCATCCTATAATTACTTGATCAAAATCTTTCCTCTATTTCTTTTCCTTCTTTTTGTCTTACTAAACAAAAGTCTTTTACTGAGGCTCTCAAATCCCAAGCCTGGTTTGCTGCGATGATGGAGGAGTTTCAGGCTCTTTGAAAGTAGAGTACTTGGACCTTCGTTCCACTGCCTTCTCATAAATAGGCTATTGGGTTCAAGTGGGGTTTCGTCTAAAAAGAAATTTTGAGGCTATTATAGCCAAACATAAAGCTAGATTAGTGGCCAAGGAGTGTCTTGAAGAAGAAGGTATTCATTACCATGATACGTTTAGTCCAGTGACAAAGCAACCCATCATTCGGATCTTTTGGTGTTTGGCCCTTCATATTAACTAGGCTATTAGGCATTGGACATCTTCAATTAGTGATTTTCTCCATGGCATTTTGGAAGAAAAGGTCTACTCAACCATAGGGTTTCACAAATTCATTGCATTCCCAATTTGTTTGTATGATTAACAAAGCTCTATATGGCCTTAATCAAGTCCGTCAACCTTGATTTTCTGCTTTCTCCTCTTTTCTTCTCAATTGGTTTCACCAATAGTCACTGTGAGTCCTTCACTTTCTGTTCAGAAGACTTCTTCTACAATGATAATTCTTCTCATTTATTTTGATCACACCCTTATCACCAGGAATGATTCAGCTCATATTGCCTGATTGATTTCTCACATGCACTCCGTGTTCTCAATAAAGGAGTTATAGGGACATTTACTATTTTTTGGGCATTTCAGTAGAGTCCTCTGATTTTGGTTATTTTTGGTCCCAACAAAAGTATGCCATTGGAATGATAGTTGGTGTGTATCCAATAGCCATTTTACCACCCTAAGCATGAATTGTGATTTTATAACTGGCTATTGTTAATTATCCCAAGTGTCAAAGCCAATTGATTACTTGTTTGCATGAGCCCATCTATCTTGCTAGCATACATGTCATGTGTGTTAATGATATACAAAGTGACAATAATGTTCCAAATAATAATTTCTTATGGGCCATTTTTTAATATAAGTTTGTCTTGCAGGGAGCTGAAAGAAGAAGTCGACTCATCAGTCCAACTGAAGCAAGAACATGATCTAAAGGGTAATGCTTATCTATTTTCACTCACCAATTCTAATGATTGATTTACTGCTAGAATATGAATTTTTCTTTTTCTTTTTTCTTTTTTTTTTTTATTTTTTATTTTTTGTGGGAAAAGAAAACACCGCTTCTCTTGTTTCCCTCTCCTATTGTAATGATTGAATTAGTGGAAGAAGATTTTCTCACAGGAAGACCATACGTCATTTCTTGAATTTTAAGAGTTTTTTTTTCCCACTTCCAACATAGATTTATACCAGAATAATACTAGAGGTCTCAAAAGTTTTACCGAAATTTTTACCAAATGTCTTACATAGGTGTGAGACTCATACTATGTGACTCATGTGATTTTCATATAGATCTCACACTTACGTAAGACATTTGGTAAAAATTTTAGTAAAATTTTTGAGATGTCTAGTATTTTTGTTTACACAATAAACAATGCAGTAGGTGAAAGAAAATGTTAAAATCCATACATAGCAACCCTCTTTCTCATATTACTATTCATTTCTTCCTTCTTCTTTTTTTCCTTATTTTTTTTTTTCTTCTGTAACTTTCTTTGTGAATTGTTGTTCAGATTCTAGAATAGAAAAGAAAATAACCTAGATGATGCAATTCTTTTTCTACACTACTCATTTTGTATTGAACAGGATGTTTCATTTTGAATTTAGCAATTAGTTTCTTACAAGTTCCTCGTGATAAAGGAGTGTGGTTGCCTCGCCAATGTTGTTTCAAGACAATTTTTTTTCTTTCCCCATTGTAGTGCAATCAAAATTCAAATTTGCCAGAGAGATTGTTTACTTTTCTTGTTCTTGTTCTTGTTCTTTTTTTTCTTTTTCCTTTTTTTAAATGATGATTGCTTTAATTATCTCATGAGTGTGCAAGTTGGTCTTCTCTAGCTCATACGGCATGAATTGTTATGAGTTGAATGGTGATCAGAAGTGTTTCGAAATGTTTTCATAAACATATTTTGTTAGTGCTTGATTCAGGACAATATTAAACATTTGTACAGATGCTTCACTTGCATTCCATTGATTTACAATTAATTTCTCTGTTTCACATTTATCTGATATTCCCCTCTATTTTATTGACCCAAAAAAGAAAAAAAAAATTATCACTAACCAAAAAAAATTCACAGAAAATTAAATAAAAGGCAGTCTTGGAGTATATTGCACTCAGTGGGCCAACAAAGAGTTTCTAGTGCAAGCTATCTATGAAGCAAAAATTCATTAGGGAATTCATTTTTACACAAGCTTGAAGATTGGTTGGGCAAAAATATTGCTGGTTCATGAATTTTTTTGTTAGAACCTGTATGCACACTTAGCCTATATTTCATGGGGTGTATTTTATAGAGGCCAAACAAGGATTGCCACAATAAAGATTTCATGGACCAATGGCAAGACTAGTGTGCAATATGGAACACAAAAGCTATTACTTGGCAAAAATGGCCAACCCTTGTAGGACCCCATGCCAGCCCATTGACACCCAACCCCACCTCTTAAAAGAAAAACTGGCTCCTCTTAAATATATGGCTATCTGACATCATGTAAGAATGCACAATTCTTGTGACATTGTGGCCCTTCTTTTGTTTCTATTCCCTCTCTCTCTCCCTCCCTCTCCCTCTCCCTCTCCCTCTCCCTCTCCTTCTGGTCCCTCAGTTTTTCTGGTGTTGTCATGGCCTTGAACTGCTTTGCATCCACCATATCAATAGTGTTATGTATCAACACTGTATTGGTAGCAACTTAGCAAGTATGAGTAATGGCATATATTAAACTAATATAGTATTGACATATAAGATAATAAATAAATTATGATGAAAAAAAATGGTTATTATAACATTGAAATTTTAAACATAATATGTAACTTATTTACTATATATATGCACTAGAAGTCAAAAACTCGTCACTATAGTTTATAATTGTAGCTTATAATTTTTACATCATTCTATGACTTTTATATGAAAAATTTATTTGCATAACATTTAGCTATCAGAAATGGTAAGTGACAGAAAATAAAGATTACTTTGTTTTCAACAACATGGTGTACTACAGCTAGTCGTCTATGTAAATCATCTTACCTGCTTGATTTATTGTGGAAATTTAAAACCTACCCCCATTTAAAATCATCCTATCTCCACCACCCCCACCCACCTTTCTTATAACCATATGCAACTGGGCCCTCCACATACCAATCCATGTAATTTATGGTGTTGATGGGTATCGCCATTTTTATTTTTTTATTCATTAAAATCATAGTTTACATAATTGGGTAGATTTCAAAGAGTAAAAACTAACAATTTTTTCTTGCTTACATATGTAGTAGTTCAATTATTCTCATCATATTTTTCTAATGATTCTCATTTTAAATACTAAAATTTCATTACAAAATGTCATATCTGTAAGTAAGTAAAATTAGAGATAATTATTAATTTGTATAACATCTTCTAATTTCATGTGCGCATATATTAGGGGTGGACGCAGGTCGATCACGGAACCCCCAATCAGCCATTTGTCCGCCAGATTGGCAAATTGAAGAAAATCAATCCGCATCCGTCTCACAATCCAACGGATGTGGATTGAGCAGATTGATGGATTAACGGATTAATGCGAATCGGTTTGGCGGTTTCAAATTTTATAAAATTTGAATATAATTCAACTTGTGCACTTCCTAAAAAAATATATATTACAGTCAATCACTGCATGCCTCATCCAAAGAAAGAAAGTTTGAAACCTTAGGGCATGTTTGATTGGGAGGATTAGAGCATAGGATTGGGATTATTAATCCGTAGGCCCAATTATCCTATATTTGTTTTAACATTTTGGTTTAGGATTATTAATCCAATAACGGATTAATGCGAATCGGTTTGGCGGTTTCAAATTTTATAAAATTTGAATATAATTCAACTTGTGCACTTCCTAAAAAAATATATATTACAGTCAATCACTGCATGCCTCATCCAAAGAAAGAAAGTTTGAAACCTTAGGACATGTTTGATTGGGAGGATTAGAGCATGGGATTCCGTAGGCCCAATTATCTTATATTTGTTTTAACATTTTGGTTTAGGATTATTAATCCAATTGGATAGTGAATACCATACTAATTTAATAGGATTATTAATACTCACTATTAGTCTTGTGAATCAAACATGACCTTAGAATATTAAAATTACTGCATGTCTCATCCACATATTATAATCACAGCATGCCTCATCCATATAAAGTATTACAATTTGTGCTTCTTAAAATACAAAAAAAAAAAATTCAAACTACCAAAACTATGAACAGAGCAGTAGAAGAAATTGTATGTCTCTGTATTATTATATTTATATCTGTTTTTTAAAACAAAAATCAATCAGCATATATCATCTTTTTTATTTATTATTTTGAGAGTTAGATTTTAAAATAAAAAAATATAGATAAATAATACATTTATTTTCAATTCAAAAAATATATTCAAATTGAAATTTTTTTTTATCAGAATATTTTAAACTCTTTTTTAATTGAAAATACAAACAAAATATCTAAACAAATTGAAAATACAAAGTTTTATAAATTATTAGATATGTTTACAGTTTGGCGGTTCGATTGCGGCTAAAGGAATCTCAAATTCATCATCCGTCTAAAACTACAGGGATTGAAAAAAAATCAATCTGTAACCGTCCGCTCGTCATCACACATCCGTCCAAAATACGGCGAATCGGTTCGGGTCGGTCGTTTAGTTGGATCGGTATATCCGCTATTTACCTTAGCATATACCACTTTACTTAAAAAATAAATAAATAAAAAATAAAATAAAATAAAAAAAAAAGACCACCCATAAGACCGATTATGAAGGTCTGAGGTTTCTTCTTGATCAAGAAGGCAATTCTTAACTCACATACGAAGAGTTGAGAGTTTTGCTTTCGTCAAAAATAAGAATTAAGGGGTTGTTTGGAATAATTTAAATAAATATACTTTTTGATTTTTTATAATAAAAAAAAATATGTCAAAAAATAAAGGGATGACGTGATAAAAAAAATAAAAATTATTTAGAGAATGTCAAACTACTCCTAAGTGATACTGACAATACTTCTTTAACCGTTGCGCTTAGAAGTGATACTGACAATACTTCTTTAATCGTTGCGCTTAGAAGTAAGTCAGATATATAAATTGTATTTTAAGAAAAAAAAAGAAAACCAATCTAATTTATTAGTCTGACCCATCATGATTAATTTTGAAATCAAATTTAATAATTACTGAATAATAGTCGGAGTACAGTGGTGGTTTGACTCGGTACACAGAGCACTTCCCATGTGACCTTAACTAATTCAGAGGTTGGGAAATTAAGCTTGTTAGTGATTCAGGGTTTAAATTGATGCTTTTACAAATTGCTCATTTAACCATGTGTTGTATATGCACTCCAATTACAGAACAAGAAAACACAAAAAAAAAAAAAAAAAAAAAAAAAAAAAAAAAAAAAAAAAATTATTTCACACACAATTCATAGTCAAGAAACATCAAATATGCTCATCGACAACAATATGTCCGACAAAATCAACTCTAAGTTATATATCTAACTACTACATATGTATTAATGTGAACTCTCACTGGCTGGTATCAACTACTAGTGAAGTTGGGAGTACTTTCTGACAGAGAAGAAGGAGAAGAATCTGAGTACACACCACAACCACCACCACCACCACCACCACCACCACCTTTTTTCATGATATCTTCAATCATCTTCTCCACCACACCCATCTTCGGTCGATCCCTCTCTGACTCAGCCAAGCAAAGCAGAGCCACTTCCAAGAGCGCCACCATCTCTGCCTCCATCTCTCTGTACCTCAACAGCTCAAAATCAAGCACTTCCCACAGCCCCTTCTCACGCATTGTCCCTCGAACCCATTTCGCCACATCTCCTCCTCCACTAATTGATGTCGCTATTTTTCCTGTCAAAATCTCCAACAACACTACTCCAAAGCTATAAACATCGCATTTCTGAGAAAATTTGTTGCCATAGTTGTTGTCGATGATAGGTGTTGGGAAGAGCTGGTGTAGGCCTATGTCGGAGATACAAGCGTTGCCAAATTGGTCGACAATGATGTTTGATGTGGTGAGGTGTCCATGGAAGAACTTGGACCTCTTGTTATTGTTGTTGTGGTTGTGTGAATGGAGATAAGCAAGGCCTTGGGCTGAACCAGAGGCCAGTTTCAACCTCGTAGTCCACTCTAATGGTGTCCTTCCGGGTCCTCGATTTCCTACATCAATTTCAAATTGTATCACATAATGTTGATTTTGAAACAAATTAAAAAAATTAAAGGATCAAATGTACTAATTTTTTTGTTTAGAAATAGAGGGATAACTGCCCACAGTTGAGGGGTAAAGTATAATTTGTCCTAAATTTTTTTTTGTATACAATTCATATTTGTACAGAATTACCCAAAAATAATTATTTTAACATATCATATCATGTTGTGATAAAGTTTTTAGAACCAACAATATAATGATAGTTACATTTATTTACTAAAATTTATTTATCATGTGATGTTTTATTAATTTATATATCTAACCATTCATCTTAATTATTAATGTAGCGATGATACACTATATAATAAATAATATATAACATTATTAATTTGGGACACGACAAGAAAAATAAAGACATAAAATTTTAGTGCACTACTTATTTTGTTAAATTTTTGTGCATTATCGATTAATGATTATTACTAAAGAAAATATTTTCCAAGTAGATAGTGTATTCATTTTGCATGATTCACACTTCACACTACATTAAACTTTTTTTGAAAAATTGATTGTACTTGTAGTATGTTAGTGTTCTACAACAATTCATATGAAAATGAAATGGGAAGAGAAGAACAAACCATGCAATAGAGAGTGTAGGCTTCCATTAGGTAGAAAATCATAGACCAAAAGCAACTCCTCCTTGGAATAATAGTATGCTCTAAGGCTCACAACGTTAGGGTGGTGTCTCAAACCACCAATCTCCTTCAAAAACCCATCAACCTCCTTCCTCTTCCTCCTCTCTCTCCTTCTCACCCTCTTCACCACCACCACATCACCACCGTCCATCACAACCTTGTAAGTGGTCCCCACACTCCCTTTTCCCAACATCTCAGCTGATGCTTTCAATAACTCATCCACCTTACCAAAACCCTTACACCCCTCAAAACACACCATCATCATCTCTTCACTCTCTCTCACTACACCACCACCTCTTCTCACTACACCCTCATCACTCTTTTTTACTTCTCTTTTTCTATAACCCCTCTTATAACAGCAGCACGTGACTGTCACGAGCGTAGCCATTACTGCAACTACATCGACACTGATAATCATCAGCACCACCCGATTGCTTAAACCCTTTTTTCTCTCCCCTGAAGCCCCAGTTTCCACAGAATCACTCCTGGCCGTCTGATTAAACCTGATTGTGGGTTTCGGGCAATCGGACGGTAGTGGTTTGCCGCAGAGGTTCTTGTTGCCGGCGAACGAAGTCGCCGGAAAATTGGAGAGCGAAATTGGGATTTTGCCGGAGAGGCGGTTACCGGAGACGTTGAGGTCTGTAATTGAGATCGAAGATAGGTCGCTGGAGTTGAGGGTTCCGGTGAAGGAGTTGAATTCGAGTTTGAGGGTGAGTAGGTGGGGAAGCTGAGTCAACTCGGTGATCGGGATTACGCCGGAGAATTGGTTGTGGGAGAGGTCGAGGCGGCGGAGGCGGCGGAGGTGGGAGATTCCGTATGGGAATTTTCCGGCGAGGAGGTTGTGGGAGAGGTAAAGGTGCTTGAGTTGGGGCCAAGAGGAGAGGTTTTGGGGGGCGGAGGAGAGGCGGTTGTGGTGGAGGCTGAGGAGGCGGAGGTGGGTGAGGAGAGTGAGGGGTTGGATTGACCCAGTGAGGTTGAGATCGTTGAGGACGAGTTTGGTGACTCGGTGAGTCGAGGGGTCGCAAGTGATACCCAGCCATGAACATGGGTCCTCAGAGGAGGCGGTGGACCAGGAGGAGAGAGAATTTGATGGGTCTGAAGAGGATTTGAAATCTAGCAAAGTGGTGAAGTCTGGGTTCATAATGCTAGAGTTAGAGCGAGAAAGAGACAGGAGACAGAAAGTGATGAGTGTGGAGAAGAGAGAAAACTGTTTCGGCTTCACTGACATTTTCTCGCTCGGTTTTTCCTCCTCGGTTGTTTGGGGGAAAAAAAAAATGGAACACGACTGGTGTATTTATATATATGTACAGACTGTGATATGGTGAAATGAGTTGTAATGCTTACTGTGGGGATGATGTGTTGTTTTGATAGCGTGGAAACATCTCGAGCGTTCATCTTATTTGGTGTTTTACTTTGGCGACGTGGCAACATTTTATTTGTTAAGGGTTGAACACTGGTCCTGTAATGCAGTGGTATAATATACACCAATTAATATATCCAATAATGAACAAATTAATATTGAATAAAGGTTGGGACCCCTTTTAACCCTCTTTCTTTTTTGATTGGTCATTTTTTTTTTCTTTTTCTTTTTTTTCTCCTCTTCCAATCACCACCCGCCACGTATATGCAGGGTAATGGGGCTTAAAATTTGAAGGGATCTAAATCATTATTGATTAATATTACATCACTTTTATGAACTCCACCTATCATATCAATTATAAATATTTAAAAATTTTAAAATTATATCAGATCATTAGTTAATATATTACTCAATACATTGATTAGTATCTAAGTATTTTCCAATAGCATTATTCTTTATTATGACGTGGCTTTTTGACTCCTGATTCTCCTATGTGAAGTTTCCTCGACCACCTGGAGTGCATTACTGTTTACGACCGTTAGATGTGGGTCCAATTTTTATTTTTTATTTTTTATTTTTTATTTTTAGATTGGACCCAAGTTTATTCACAAACACACCTCCGAACATCTAGCTTGAGATGAGACAGTATTTTGGGCTTAATTGGCTTATTTTAGGATTCATTTTGATGTGATTATTGGTGTTTTGAATAGTTTATTTTTTAATATTAATTGAATAAAATATTAATGTAAAAATTTAAGATAATTGAATATTAATAATTATATATTTGAATTATATTTATTTTAGGAGAAATTGTATACAAGTAAGAGAAAGAGAAAAAAATTACAAACACATAAACAGCGCAAGTGCATCCCTGATAGGGTGCGCCCTGATAGGGTGCAAATAAAAGGTAGTAAGAATGTAAATGTCATTTGTATCCTTTCATATGTTAATAATTTTTTTTCCATTCTTGCACCTATATGTAGTTCCTCCTTTATTTTAAGATTCTCTCACCTTTACAAGCCATTAGAAAGCATGTGTGAGGTACGCGTGCTCGTAGTTCGATTTTTTATTTTGATCCACCCGCATATGTGTATGTGTGATAGGGTGTAATAAATTGTTGTCAAATTTCATCCATTTCAAACCCATTAAATAAAATAAAAACATTTGAAAACTCACAAACTCCATCTAAGATAGGATAAATGAAATTAACAGTCTAGATTTAAAATAAAATAAAAAAGTGCGGACTAGTTTTGCAGGTGCGGGTAAAACCCGCAATCTGCAATAATGTCATATTTCAAACCACATCTGCCTGTATTGTGTCTGCGAAATTATCTATTTATATGCGGATCGGTTCAGGTTGGACAGGTTGTACAATTCAGATACCCATGTCCAATCCTAGTGTGAGGTAATGTTAAAGAATTCTCCATATCACTTATCTAAACCACTCAAAATTGATTTATAGCATCTAAAGACTCTTTCACTCATCAGTATCAATTAGCTTTGGATTGCATGTCTCTAAAATTCTAACATGTTATAGATTTGAATATTTTAAGTGATCACTTGTGGGTTAAGTTGTCTTATGAGATTTAATTCTCTCGTCTCTTATTTTTCTAGCACCTTCACATATGACTGATTATATATGTAGAAGAGTATTACAAACTTATCTCACAACACTTTTTTAAACCGCAATCCAAATTTAATCCGTATACTTTAAAATCATCTGGAAAATTAATTTTGTGTTCTAAATATGTCACAAACATTAATAGTGTAAAATTGTTGGCTTATTTTTCCTACAAAGAAAAATATCGTAAATGCGAGCGTGCCAGTAAGGATTACAAATTAAATTCAAGCCAATTATCAAGTGATTATGTTGACGGTTCTTTTGCCTCAACGAAAATGATTTCAAAATTACCAAGTGTAAAGAAAAGAAAAATTAAAAGAAGAAAGAGGGAAACGGAGAAAGACGATTGAGTGAACAACCAAAGTAATAATTACTTACCTCTATTTCTATGCTTCGAAAAGGAAGTGCATAAAATGTTTTGAAAAATAAATGCTTCGAAATATAAATCTATGTTAAACTGCTCCTAAGATAAGAAAAATCACAAGAAATATTGAATTCAATTGTCTTTGATTTGAGTTATGAATTCATTACAATGTAGCCATTGATGACTATTTATAGAGGAAAAAATACAGCAATAACTATTTAGTAACTACTCATTTCTCTCATCTGCATCCTTGTCTTTTGTATGTGTCCTTCCACTCATCCACTTTGTCCTTCATGTTCTCCATCATCTCCATAATTTCTTTTAACTTCCAAATAAATAAGAGGAGGTCACGTGTCTTAAAAATAATAACAATAATAATACTAATAATAATAATAATAATAATAATATTTTATGATGCCAACAAATATGAGGCCAAGAATGCATATTATGATTTACATATAAATGGAACCAACATTAACATTGTTCTTTTAGTAGACAACAGCTCAGCCCAGAATTTAAATGTCCTGGTCCAGTGGTATCAATGGTCCAAACCATATTATAGCTGGGACTCTGGGAGAGCTTGAGGAAGCCCAACTCAAGTGTTACCCAACCTTTCACAGAGTGACTTTCAAAGAGAAGCTCCAAAGGGCTAAGCCCGATCAGAGGCCGAAAGTCCTATATTTCTAAGTCCGTAAGTAGGGGAACATTCTATTTCAACCCAAAAAATATTTCAGTATCCTCAATTTAAATTTATAAATTTTAATTCTTATTATATTTTAATATAAATTTACCAGTAAGGGCAGTACATATTAAACTCTAAAATATTTTTTTTTTCTCCTTCATGGGACACCCTAATCCATTGTTCCTATTCAAATTTCTACATCTTCTTTTCCAAGAGATCAAAGTTATTTTGCCTCCTCCTTCTTCTTCTTTTTCTTCTTTCTCACTCCAAAACTTCAATCCATCCAATCAAAACTCATCATTATCATTAATATTATTGTTTTTAATTATTTTGAAACTCTAAACCCTAGAAGAAAATTTAAACAATAAAACAATGAATGAAAGTGATAATTAAGATAATTTTTTGAAGCAACCCATCAAAGAGGAGGTAAGCATTCATATAAAAATCAAAATATAATTATTAATTTATGTATTTTTTTACATGTCCAATTACAATGTTAAATCTTTCAATTTTTAGAATCATATAAATAGCATTACAGCTTTAATAAAAAATTCTTTAAAATAATCTTTGAATTCAATGATCATATCTTCACACAAAAAAACGAGTTATATCCTGTGGCACTTTTTAATAATAATAAAAAAAAAATTCTTCCATTTTATTCTTTCTTTCTGTTGAACTTTATGTTTGTTCTGGAAAAAAAAAAACAAAAAATTATTTTCTTCTTGCATATTTTTTATGTACATACGCTTAAATTGTAAAAAAATATAGAAACAAATTCAATAAAAGAGATAAACCAAGCAAGGTAGTAGTGTATTTTCCCATTCAAGGATTTTGTCAAACACATAGTAATCAACAAATTAGAATAGCAAACCAGCAATAGAATTGTCAAACACATAGTAATCAACGAATTGTTATAGCAAAATATCAAGAGAAAAAAGAGAAAAAAACATAGGCAAGGAGATGAAACTTATCAATGGTGACTCTGATTATGAAGTCCTTTGTCAGTGCCTCCTTTGTATCAGTTTAAAAGGTTTTTCAAATACTTTTTTTTTTTCAATTTGATTATTATTTATTATTTGAGTTTATTAAGGGTAACCTAGGAAAAATTATAGGGTGCACTCAGAATAATATAAAATTTTAAATAATTAAAAATAATGTACTTAAAAATAGAGAGTACTTAATAAATTTTTTTTTGGAGGTAAATAGAATCCCCCGTAAGTAGGGCCTATGATTTAGAAATGTAGGCTGCCTGGCCTGAGCCCATTCTATTTATTGGTTAAAGTTTATAGATTTGGGCCTTAAATTTTATAATGGACTCAACACAACTCAACTCATTTAGGCTTAGGTCAAGTTTGGCAACTCTTAAAAAATTTAAAAAGTCAAAAAATTACTATCCTATTTAAATTACATCATCTTATTTAAGTCACATCACCTCTCTAACACATCACTTCAAACCCAACTCAAATCCAACCCATATTTCATAAAAAGTCAAAAAGTACACTTATTTAGTCTTCCCAAACTTGGCCTTGTTTAACCAAGATCAATGAAACACGAGAAAGTATTAAAGAATAAATACACAAAAATTATAAATCACACACACATATAAAAAAAATACAAAATTTATGTGATTCATCTCAAAATTAAAATTACATCTACCGTCTCTATAATTCAACTACTAAAAAAATATATATATATTACTCACACACACGAAAATATATATATATTACTCACACACACGAGATAACTAAGAAGTTAGAAATACAAATATTTTAAAAATTACTGTTACTCCAAGTTTGGGTCCGCAGGTAAACCAGCCAACCCCACCTTCATCAGTTGGATGCCCGCAAACCTAATCAATTTATCGCAAAATTATATCATTACCTATAAAAAAAAATTCACATAATCTCAATAGAACCTTCAGTATTATTTGTCACATTGTGATGCGGGGCATTAATTTTTTTTTTTGGATGATAATGCATGTATTATACGACAAAACCATCTCATCTTGTTGAAATATGCCCACTTTTTATTTGTTTTTGTTTTTTTGGGTCCATACTAGCAAAGTGAACAAATTTTACTAATTGCAAGTGAAGTCCACGCCGACTCTTTACAAAGATGAGGACAAAGCATAGCATGTATAAATTTTTTTTTTTCCTCTGTCCTTTGAGATTAAAATAATGTTAAAAAAAATTAATTTTTTTTTAAAAATAGAATATGTATTGTAAATTTAAAATTAATAAAATATAAATTACATT